TGATGGGGGTTGGGGAGTATGTGTGTCGGTCACTAATGTGGGTTGGAGTGTTTGTCTGTTGGTCACTAATGTGGGTTGGTGTGTTTGTCTGTTGGTTGCTGATGGGGTGTCGGTCGGTGATGTTTGGTTGTTGTGTGCTGTCTTATAATGGTTCGTTAAATTACTTAGTCTTGTAAATACTTTCCCGCATGTTGTGCAGGGATGTCTTTGTCGTCCGTGTGCAGAGTCTTGATGTCTTGTCAAATCGTTTCTGCGGGTGAATACCCGCTCGCATATGTCACACTTGTTACGGGTCATGGCTGGGTGGCTGGTAGACTGGGCGGCTTCCATTATTGATGAAGTGTCTAGTAGTCGGATGATTGGGTAGGTCGTTGGCTGTAGAATAAAAAGAATTACATAAATAAAATACATGAAATAAAAATCATACTTAAAATAAAATTAAAAAATGAAACGTACCTATGGGTTTGAACGTCTAAGCTGAACGTGAAGTTAGCTGTATGTGGAGATCCGAAGTGGTGTAGTTGGATGTAGTTGGATCTTTGGTTCAGTGGATCCCTCGGGGCTGGGTAGGTAGCTCAATAGGTCAGTCGATGGAACAGTTGTGTCGATGAGTCGGTTGTACACTAAAAAGGAATACAGTTGCCTACTTATTTAGATACATATTTATTTAAAGGATATGTACAGGATAATTCATACTATTAACCTTACCTCGGTGTACGATACAAAATTAAATACCTGTGACTACTTATTTAATAAGATTTGATTTTAATGGGGTTAGCACCCTTAAAACAAAAGTAATATTAACCTTACCTTTAATAGAATAAACACGCACAAAAGATGTGGTCCGTGGAGGGTTAGGTAGATGTGATGGTTGATAAAGCTGGCGTGGGTTAGTCTCAGGAGTCAACAGAGGTCGCAGGCTGGATAAGTCGCGGTGAAGCTTGGTTCGGAGTGTGAAGTCGAAGTGATTAGAACACAATTTTCGCGGTCATTTATACGATTGCTCAGCGTAATTACACCACCAGCTGTCGCACAACAGCTGTTGCATAATGACCTAAGTGCTTCGCGGAGCTGACAAATCGATCGACGTACTTCGCGGAGCTGACAATTCGATCGGGGAAAAAATCAATTAAAGTGGTAACAGGTGTTCCCACACTTAACGCTGGTTTCGCGTTAATTACCAGACCCCCCGGTGGGATCGCTTCGCGAACCCACATAAATCATCATGACCTATCAAACCTAGCGGGGAAAAACCCACGATGCATGACCAAATTAATTAGGCGGACCATCATTTGATGGCCCGTGGGTGGAATCAATATTAACGCGCCCGTTGTCCAGTGTTTGACAAAAACAAAGGATTGCGGATCGATAAGTAACAGATGTGGTTAAATGGATGTTCTATTTTCGGTAACCGTTCGTTGTGTTGCTGAATGGTCCCTATACAAAGTCCACGCTAGTGTTAGTCTTTTATTTAAAACATACATACAAGCAAATAAACAAACCAACAAATTAAACAACAAAGTAAACAAATAATCAAATTACGTAACTCGTCAATAAAAAATTACACAATATAAACAAAGTAATTAAATTAAACAACAAGTAAACAAACAAATTAAACAATTTAAAAAAGTAAACAAAAAATCAAATTACGTAACTCGTTAATAAAAATTAATTAAAATTTTAAAAATAAATTCAAACTAATTAAAAAACGCATTAAAATTACGTCACAAGGTCATTGATTACGTCACAAGGTCAGTAATTACGTCACAAAGTCACTAATTACGTCACAAGGTCAATGATTACGTCACAAGGTCACCAAAAGGTGACTCACCCTTCACTCCTCCGCCAACCCCAGTTGGCGTAGTATTTTACTATATGTCGTTGTACATCCGCATCCGCTCCTCCGGCAGTTGGCGTACACTCCTCCGGCAGTTGGCGTAGTATTTTACTATATCTCATTGTACATCCCGCGCATCCCCCTCCCGAGTATTTTACTATATCTCATTGTCCATCCGCATCCGCTCCTCCACCAAAAAATCGGTCCAAAAGTGACCTAATATACTACTTATATCAAATTTGTAGATTCGTATCAACTTTTCAGCGATTTCCGATAACCGGAAGTGGAACTTTTTCTACTTTCAATTTTTCAAAACCGTATAAACTGAGTACTATTTAAGATAGATAAATGAAATTTCACATATAAGTAAAATATCTAATTCTCTGCCTTCTATCAAATATTGAGTAACTTCCGTTGACCGGAAGTAGTCTTCTTCTTCTTCATTCTTAATTTTTTAGTGTTGGAAGGGATCGAGCCTTATCTGCCATAGGGTTTAAACTCGAGAAATTTCGAATTTAACAACCATGAGCTATGCCGACTCGACCACGCCTCCAACCAAGTAAGTATACGTGTCAACTGGTTATGCGCCATTGAGGCCATTGACTACCGGAAGTAGTAATTTAGGCTATTTCCGATTTCTCAAAAAAAAAAAAAAAAAAAAAAAAACGCATGTGATTTTTTAAAGTACTAATAATATTCCGCACTATTATGCACATTTTATTTTGCGTTCACTTGGTGTGCAATTGTTTTTTCTACGAGATTCTATTCTATTTTAAAAAGTTTAAGTAATTAAAAATGGATTTAAAATCAAGTCTATATAGTTATGTGTCATCTCCCGTAATGTCATATAAGAATATTCGAGAAAGTTTAGGGAAGATCACTCCCGGTTTATTTTTTATTAGAGTGAGTTGAATTTATTATTAAATTACCTCCCTGGCATAAAATAAAAGATTTTACCCTACTATTATAAAAATGTTTTCACTTTTTCTAGGAATCTAAACGAAAATGATATTTGACACTGATCCGTTTAATATGTTTTAGGAATGTGCGTGTATTTAATATTTTCTTCACGTTATTTGAAAGTGTAAAAACTGTAGCAACTATACAATAAATTTAAGTCGTTATATAAACAAACCCTACTCTATTACTTTTAATTAGACAATGCGATGCAATGTAAAAACACTGCATGATTTGATGTTTTAATAATGGTTCTAAAATCTATAGCGATGACCGACGGACGGACTGACACCTTACCAGCAGCGTAATATTTTTACATATACGAGAAAGTCTAGGGGAGATCACTCCCGGTTTATTTTTTAAGGTTTTTATAGGCCTATTTGTTTTATTTTTATTATTCTGGGTTATGTTGTGAACTTCATTTGAAGTTATCGGTATATTTTTACCACAAAATTGCTTGCTTTTATTACTCGACAAATGATTGCTGGAAGTTTGATTTTTTCATTTAGATCTAGATCTACTTGAAGTATTTGATGGCTTGCATATTCATTAAGATAGACGGTGTTGAGATTTGGCCTATAAGCATTTAAATTATTTTTACGTATGTTTATTTTTTCCTAGATCGCATAAGATTACAACCACACAAAAAGAATAATTAAGAAATATTTAGAGCAGACTCACAACATTTTAGCAGCTTTAATATTATATTGCTACAATATTTAATAACTTAATATTAATAATATAGCTTTTTTTTTTTTTTTTTTTAAAGTTCCATCACCAGTTTTAATGTGAATCAAATCCAGTGCAATAATATCTTTCAACATGAGAATACAAATTCAATACACAACATTTGCTGACGTAATACACTTGATTTTCTTAAAACAAGGTACACATGAATCAATGATGTCATTACACACAAATAGGAATGTTCTTACACAGAAACCACCCATCAAGTCTTGTAAACAGGATATGGAAACGTTTTCAATTCAGTCAACCATTCAAATCATTGAAGGCGACTCAATATGTTGGGAACTCAATGTGGGGGAACATGAACTTGGGAACTAATTTATGTAGGGAACAGTACATTTGGACAAGTTTATGTAGACAACAAAAAACTGAGAATATTTCTCTAAAGCTTTGTAACAAATCATTCTGGTTCGAAACATACATGTGTGTAATGTAAACTTACTGGATGTGTGTAATGTAAGCTTACTGGATGTGTGTAATGTAAGTTGACTGGATGCATGTAATGTAAGCTTAGTGGATGTGTGTAATGTAAGTTGACTGGATGCGTGTAATGTAAGCTGACTGGATGTGTGTAATGTAAGCTTACTGGATGTGTGTAAACTTACTGGATGCATGTAATGTAAGCTTACTGGATGTGTGTAAGTTTGATAGCATATGCCCAGAATGAGATATCCAACAAAAAGATGATAAAAAAACCATGAGAAGAATAAAAAATGTCATGGATGTTTTGTAGCTGCTGGCTCAGTCAGCCTTGCATGTGTGAGCATGGTAGACACCATATGGTGTCACGCTGGACACCTTCACATGATGGTGTCAGGACAGACACCTTTAAGTAATACACATGTAACTTCAGTTGAAGAAAGTGTTTGGTTGATTGGTGTGTAGTTTGACTGGTGTAGTTGAGTGGTGTGCATTTAGTTCACTGGTGTGTAGTAAAGTGGTGTTTAGTTGACTGGTGTGTAGATGAGTGGTGTTTCATTGACTGATGTGTAGTTAAGTGGTGTGTAGTAGAGTGGTGTTTAGCTGAGTGTTTGTTTGAGTGGAGCCAGAGATCAACACAATTATTTTCTCCTACAGCCCACACAAATCTTCAATGCTTGTTTCACAACTATTTAAATGCAAATCTCAACAAGGTACTGGGAGGCAAGCAACAGCTTATAGAAGCTGATCAAAAAAATTAAAGCTCAGATGTATGAAGTTTTGGTCTTTAAACACTTTATCTGGCAACCCTCTGTGTCCCAGGTTTGATCTATCAAAGAATTGAATTAATGCTTTTTACAATGTTGTAGCTCTATAAAAATACTTTTCAAAACATGTGAACCAAAAAGGATTTCTACAAGAATAACTTGTTTGGTAAATACATAAATAAGTTTTAAAATGCCAATTTGGCACATCTGTTTACATTTAAAAAAAAGAGATGAATATAAATTAAGTTGAGAAAAAATGTACAGCCAAACTTGGATTGTGTTAATGTTCTGGGGGTGGCGGACTCTTGGAACGCTCCTCCTTCTGTGTGGCCTGTCTGCGCTTGAACTCAAAGTACTCGATGTAGCCATCTTTGTTCTCATCATTCTCCTGGATCACAGAGTCCACAATGTTGGAGATCTCAGAGTCTTCAAAGATTTTCTTGTTCTCATCACTGCCCTTGTCATTCTCATCGTGAAAATGTGTCAAAGCCTTGCCAATCTCCACCCCATCCAGCTTGTTGTTGTTGTCGTAGTCGTGCAGCTTGAAGTAGTGGAACTCCAGCTCCTCTTCTGTCATCTGGTCCTTGGACTTGGTGGCCACCACCTTCTCAAGGTGCTCCAGGATGTGGTCAGCATTGTGCACCTCTGATGCAAACTGTAAAGGTTTCCCATGGTGGCCGTGTTCTTCATGGGCCTGGGGTTGTTGTTGGTGCTGCTGCTGTTGCTGGTGGTGCTGCTGTTGTTGGTGATGCTGTGGGGGCTGGTTGTGCTGCTGCTGATGTGGGGGCTGGTTGTGCTGTTTGGGTGGGACACCAGGAGGTTGCTGTGTGGTCAGCTGGACCAGGGCCAACAAGAGGACTGCCACAGCAGGATGTATCATGGTGACCACGTGATAGAGAGCTTTCAATATGTTAGAATTTGCGCCTGTCTCTCTGCTTGTCACTTTGCCGTATGGTGGGAATCTGCCGATTGGTTTCTGTCGCTAATCATAGCTATTATATATATATATCTAATATATAAAGCTCAGTTCTGTATGTAAAAACGCATATGTTTGTCATTGGTCTTGGATGGATTTAAGTGTTAGACAATTATCGTGCGCATTTGTCTAAATTTATGAGTTAAAAAATTACTATTAAAAGTGTTGGGAAATAATTTTCATTTTTCAAATTATAGTAATAATTGTCGGCATGTTCATTAAACACAAGTTTTAAAAAAATATCATCTTTTACAAAAATTCTAATTATGTCTTTATTTAGTCCTATAGCACTTACTTCCCTTTGATAAATTAGGAAAACAAAATTACTTCCCTTTATAAAACCATTGCATTAGTCGAAAATAATTTACTTTTTAATTACTTTGTTTTGGTGTTGGGAAAAAAAAATAATTACATAATTAGCGGGGATTGATCAAGTGCAAATGTTGTAGGTATTTTACGGATAAGCTTGGAGTATTAAAATTGTTCATTAAATTGAAACAGGCGCGTTCGTTTAAGTGAGTGCAAAAGACTATGAATAAGTTGGGGTACTATAGTCGTTCATTAAGCTAAAACAGGTGATTCCGCCCCGGGCGTTTATGTTCGCGTTAGTGTTTTCTTTGTGTTTAGGTGGGTTGGCGTTAGTGGTTGCGTTTTGATTTGGTTAGTTTTTGTTCTTTCTTTTTTCGTTTTTGTTTGTGTTTTTTTTTTTTGTTTGGGTTTGTATTTGTGTTTTTGGTTGGTTTTGCGTTTGGATTTGGTTTGTTTTCGTTTGCTTTTTCGTTGTTGTTTTTTTTGTTGGTGTTGGTGTTTGTGGTTGGGTTTGTTGTTAGGTTTTTGTTTTCGTTTGCTTTTTTGTTTGTTTTTTCTTTGTGTTTGTATTGGTGTTTGTGGTTGTGGTTGGGTTTGTTGTTAGGTTTTTGTTTTCGTTTGTATTTGTAATTGTGTTAGCGTTATGTTTGCGTTTGGTTGTTTTGGTTGGTTGTGGTTTGGGTGGGCAATGCCGGGTTTATGATGATTACTAAACACACAGGTAATGGTCTTTAACATATATATATATATATATATATATATATATATATATATATATATATATATATATATATATATATATATATATATATATATATATATATATATATATATATATATATATATATAATATATAAAGCTCAGTTCTGTAACGTGTGGCAAAAAAAAAGTTTGTCGTTGACAGTTCTACGGATTTAAGTGTTAGATTTTTTATCGTGCTCAAAGTCTAAATGTACGAGTAGAAAAATTACCATTGAAAGTCTTTAAAAACAATTTTCATTCTATTTACTTAGAAGAATAATTTTCAATTATGAACACGACATAAAATTTTTAAAAAGTGTATCGACGTTTATAAAATTTCTAAAATTGTGTCGGAAATGTATTGACTGCAAAGTTACTTCCCTTTAATGAAAAATAAATCCTTAAGAAGAGAGAATTAACATTTTATTACTTTGTTTTTGGTGTTAAGAAAAAAAAAAAAATTACACAATTAGCGGGGATTGATTAAGTGCAATGTCGTTAGGTATTTTTAACACTGCCTTTTATTTATTCTATACACTGAACATACTGTTCAATAATTATTATTTTTTTTTAAAATCAATAACATTTAATAAGCCAGGTCCTACAAATCATATACGTTTATTTCTTTCCATTTACGGATAAGCTTGGAGTATTATCATTTTTGTTCACTAAATTGAAACAGGCGCGTCCGCCGGCGCCCCTGCACGGTTTGATTTGGCACCCTGGGCTATCATGTGAGCGCTATGCTGCATAATTTTGTTTTAAACAGTGCGATAGACTATGGATAAGAAAGGTTACTATAGTCTTTAAGTGAATCAAATCCGGGCGTCCTCCGGCACCCCGACAGGGTGCTATTTGGCGCCCCGGGCCTTCCGGTGTACGCTATGGTATCTACGTTCGCGTGAGTTCAAAAGACTATAAATAAGTTATGCACTATAGGCGTTTACTAAGTTCAATCAGGCGGTGACGTCATGGTGCGTCCTCTGGCGCCCAGACAGGGTGCTTTTTGGGGTCCCGGGCCTCCCGTGTTCGGTTTCGCGCCTACGTTCATTAAAGTGAGTGCAAAAGACTATGAATAAGTTGGGGTACTATAGTCGTTTATTAAGCTGAAGTAGGCGATTCAGCCCCGTGAGCACTTTGCGTTTATATTCGCGTTAGTGTTTTCTTTGTGTTTAGGTTGGGTTTGCGTTAGTGGTTGCGTTTTGATTTGGTTCGTTTTTGTTCTTTCTTTTTTCGTTTTCGTTTGTGTTTTATTTTCATTGGGTTTGTGTTTGTATTTGTGTTTGAGGTTGGTTTTGCGTTTGGATTTGGTTTGTTTTCGTTTGTTTTTTCTTTTGTGTTTTTTTTCTTTGGGTTTGTGGTTGGTTTTGCGTTTGTATTTGGTTTGTTTTCGTTTGCTTTTTCGTTTGTGTTCGTATTGGTGTTTGTGGTTGTGGTTGGGTTAGTTGTTAGGTTTTTGTTTTCGTTTGTATTTGTAATTGTGTTAGCGTTATGTTTGCGTTTTGTTGTTTTGGTTTTGGTTGGTTGTGGTTTGGGTGGGCAATGCCGGGTTTATGATGATTACTAAACACACAGGTGATGGTCTTTAACAGAAGGGTTTTTCACAGAAGCCAGAGCAGGGCCTGGCCGGGACGGCTAGTATATATATATAATATAAGCGGGCTGTGTCTGTCCTTCCGTCCGTCATCGCTATAGATTTTGGGACTATAAAAGTAAACTACGAACCATGCTGTGCTTTTCAGTGCACCGCATTGTCTTATTATAAGTATTAGAGTAGGGTTTGTTTATATAACGACATAGAGCTATTTTATAATTTCCACTGTTTGTACAATTTTGCATAACGTAAAGAGAATATTAAATACACGCACATTGCTAAAACATATTAAAAGGATCAATGTCAAATATTGTTTTCGTTAATATTCCTAGAAAAAGTGGATACATTTTAATAACATAATAACTGTAGGGTAGAAAAATCAAATTAAACTGTTTAGTAATTTTGCCAAGGGAGGTATTTTAAAAATAAATTGAACTCACGCTAAAAATGTGAATGCAGAATCTGCAAGACGGAATAATTTTTGGCATAATATAATTAGCAAAATGTGAATGCAAATTATGCAGACGTGTAAGAGTACATTATTGTTGGAATATTATAATTAGCATTGATTGATAAAAGGCTATCTTTTATTTATTTTATTCACTGAATGTAATGTTTACTACTTATAATTTTTAATCAACTATTAAGCACTATTATAGACGCGTCATCACGTTCATTAGGTGCGCAATGGTTTTAGTTATGAAACTCTATTGTAAATTTTTAAAATTTAAAGTACTGGGAAAAAAATGCGTGAATGGATAAAGTGAAATATTTAGGTAAAACACGGATAATTTAAATACTGCCTATTATTTATACTGTTTACTAATTATTATTCTATCTTTCGGTTTGCGGACAAGATAGGGGTTTTATAGGAGAGGCGTAGCGAGGGGGGGGGGCATATGTCCCCGGGTGCCGACCTTAGGGGGCGCCAAAGTGGGTTGGAAAAAATTTGCGAGGGGGGGGGGGGGTGGAAATCTAAAGTTTTAGGGCGGGGGGGGGGGGGGGGGGGGGGCAGGGGTGCAAATCGAAAGTTTGAGGGGGGTGCAAATCACCGGAAAGGGCGCAATTTGGCGCTACGGGCTAGACTGTGAGCAATATGCCTTTATGATTGCATTTCAGATGTGTTTATGTTATGAGTATTTAGTTTGTTTTTTTTCGTTTGTGTTTTTTTTTGCGTTCGTTTGTGTTGTGTTTAGTTTTGTTCTGTTCCCAAGTTGGTACATTTAAAAAAGATTTACCGTGGCGGAGCACGGGATGCAGCTAGTATATATATATTACTACATCTTTCATCACGTCACCATGAAAATTTGGTTTTTGAGAATATTCCTGGGAAATTTTCTGAGTTTCGGCGAAATGAAGTATTTTAAATATGCAGGGGTGATTTTTTTTTCTCTAAAAAGTTTCCTTTAAAACCTGACTGTCTATGGGGCAAGTGAAGTAGAGTTCTCTTGTTTCTGTGACCTCGGCATATGAAGAGATAGTGTGGTCAGCACTATGCCCAGCCACCTTTACTTTCCCTAACGTGAGTTAGGTAACCATCAGAGTTGGGTGGACTCAGGGACGGTCTAATAACTTGAACCCGGATTCGAACTCGAGACTTACGGGTTAGAAGTCCAGCACTCTACCGCTAGACCACTCCATCCTCTGACGTCCCTATATACGGTATACAAAAATAAAAGTCGATTCAGTTTGACACAGATCGTCATGAAACTTTGGGGTGTTGATTAGAAAACTCCAGGGAAGGGTTCTGCAAAAGAAACTTTTTTTTTTATTTCGCAAGGGCGGCGCCCCGGAGGGTGCGATTTTTCTCTATATACATTATATAAAAAATAAAAGTCTGATGCGAATCGACACCATTCCTCCGAGCAGTGTTTATTTCATCAGCCCCCCCCCCCCTTCCCCCGAACGAAATGGAATTTATATAGATAATATATATGTTTAAGTTTTTTTTTTATTTCAAGTGCCCACCCGATGAAAAAAGTCTGGAAGAAACACTGCATCCGGGTGCTATGAAACTTTGGGGAGTTGATGAGAATACTCCCGAGAAGGTTTTTTTCGAACAAATTAATTAAAATTTCTTATGGGCGACGCCTCGAGAGGGCGCGATTTTTGTCAATACACGTTTTGGCGCCCAGAGTTCCATAGCGACTATCTTAGCACTTGGTATTCGTATTGGTATGGCGCCTACATTCGTTTTAAGGAGCATCCTACAATATTGACTAGGCGGCTCACAACATTCAATGATCAAACCAAGCCAGGAGCCGTACGCGGCGCCCCTGCGGTAGTGTAATTGGGGGCTAACGAGAGCTCCCATATACGTCCCTGACACAAAGGCGGTTAGTGATTAGCGTACAGCGGTAGTTTGCCGTGTCTCGATATAGCTGATCCAAGCACAGGCATTGTTTACATTTAATAACAAGGTCACGCGCAGTTTCTACCAGGCATTTCTTCGGCCCGAAAAAGTCTACCGCCCCCCCCCCCCCCCCGAAATTTATATAGAAAATATATACTTTTAACAGTGTCTGCCCCCCCCCCCCCCCCCCCCCGAAAATATCAAGTGCCCCTATTACGAACGCTATTCTGTCAGTCGCAGAGCTAGCGAACGCCCCGGGTTCGTTTTGAGATGGCTAATGACAGATATAAACTACTAAAGAGTGTCAGAACACAAAACAAATTTCAACGTGGGTTCGTGAATAAAATCTAGGGGTATAAACACGCTGAACTCCTGTGACTCACAACAACTTTAATCTGTCAACAACCGTTTAATAGGAGTACAGGAATAAAAGTAACACTAGGACTGTACAAAATAATATATAATCTAAGAGTAAATAATAAACCAAAAGCCAACTTACAGTTGATGAAAAAATCACTAGACTAGATAACAAATATCACAGATATGGCATTGGATAATGAACACAGCTTAAGGAAAAATACTGAAAACACTGTATGACACTAGAATCACCAATAATAGGGGTAAAATTGCCGCTATAACTATGTAACACAAAATGGCGTCACACAAAATGGCACTCTCTCTCTCAAGATGTCCCATAAAAGGCTGCCTAGAACCTTTGCGTTCAGGGTTTTTAAATCACCTCCGAACCAGAGGTCACTCCAAAGTCCTAAGATTATTGGTTGGGATTTTACTAAAGTTCGAAATAACCAATTAAAATTTCATCACATGACGTGACGGAAAAATTCAGGTGATTGTACAACTCTCCCAAGGTCGATTACATAAACCAAAAACTAAATTATATAAAAAAAATAAGACCTAAGTATGTCACCCCCCCCCCCCCCTCCCCCGGAGAAAAAAGTCTGGAAGAAACACTGGTCACGCGTCTAAGCATATAGGATTGGTATTGCATTGATGAAACCCTTTTCATTGATGAAAATATTTAGTCAGACTTTATTGGTCCTTTATGCCTAACTACACCTTTCATCCGATAGCCATGAAACTTTTGTAAGTCGTTGCGAATAGACCTGGAGAGATTTGTGAGACGCCCGGCTAGGCGCAATTAGGCGCCCATGGCTCTCCTGTGAGCGCAATAGCACCTACGTTCGTTTTAAAAAGTGCAATAAACTATGGATACAATGGGGCATTATAGTCGTTCACTAAACTGAATCAAGCGCGTCCGCCGACGCCCCTGCAGGGTGCGATGTGCCCCGGGATATCCTCAGACTTTCTTCTTTCCAAGCCGCAACGCCAGCGGGCACGCTAGTCTTATGTAAAAACTAAATTTACTGTTATTTATTCCATATAATCAACTTTTAATTGTTTCAGTTTTAAATATTTTTAGCGCAATTTTCATACTGGCAATTGCGATTATTAATTTGTTATTTCTGGATGGATGTGTGTCCGCAGTTTTAAGTCGTATCTCCTCCTCAACGAAGCAATATCGAGGACTAGTTCCAAAGCAAATATGTTAAGCAAGTTTCGAGGATGATTGTGGGCCAAAAAAATTCCCGGAATTCCTTCCTGGATTTCCCGGAGAAGCCAAAAAACCTCGAAAAAATGCAGTTTTTTTGCCCATATCTCGGCAACCAGACCACTTAGCGACTTGAAACGTTTACCAATAGATTCCTGCATTAATTTAGAACAATATTACCGAAGAAAGTTTTCAAAAATATCCTTTTGTTCTGTCACAAAAAATTAATTAAGGAAATTGCGCTTAAATTGTCACTAGACTTTTTATTAACTTGTTTTGCTAAAGAACAGACATTTTTTAAAGTCAGAAAATACAGACTCAGACATCGTGGAAAAGTTATATTTCTATAACCAGAATTTTTCATACTTCATAAAGATTTTGTACGAAATTTATATAGATCTAGGACCTGTATGTGAGATAGTGCTGGACTTCTATATAGATCTAGGACCTGTATGTGGGATGGTGCTAGACTTCTATATAGATCTAGGACCTGTATGTGAGATAGTGCTAGACTTCTATATAGATCTAGGACCTGTATGTGGGATGGTGCTAGACTTCTATATAGATCTAGGACCTGTATGTGAGATAGTGCTAGACTTCTATATAGATCTAGGACCTGTATGTGGGATGGTGCTAGACTTCTATATAGATCTAGGACCTGTATGTGGGATGGTGCTAGACTTCTATATAGATCTAGGACCTGTAGGTCCAGTCAGTGGAGCGTCCATGGATCAACCCAGCTCTGATTGGTAATTACACTAATTAACTCACAAAAGGGAAAGTGAAGGTCGCTGGCAAAGTGCTGACTATATTATTCCTTCATATGCGGAGGTTAAGAAACATATAAACTCTACTTCATCTGCCCAATGGATTGCTAGGTCTAAAGAGGATTCTTTACTTCAGTTAATTGTTCAGCGTTAAGGAGCAGTGACTAAGTGTCCATTGAGGAGAATTTGAGAACTTTTGAAAAAGTTCTCAAATTCTCCTTAAAATTACCAAAATGACAAAATCTTACCATAAGGATAATATTTGTGCATTGTTTAATCAATAAACAATATGCATTCAATATTTAAGACTTCAGTTATTTATTTACAAGAATAATTTTTTTTTAAATGTATTACTTTCATATTTTACACACGTTTGTCATTTGTATAGGAAGAGAATTTTTCACAATGATATTACAGTACAAAACTCAACAAATGTATAGCCATGTTTGTCATGGTAAAGCAATATTAGTCATTAAGATTTAAATACATAGTATTAGTAGTGAAAAAAAAATCTCAAATGTCTCTGTAATTTGTGTTCTACCTGTTTATCTGTAGGGGACTGACTCTCTCCCATTACCTTCTAAACAAATATTACTTTTTTTTTCAAACCTTAATAAATAACTATTTTAATTTTGAAAATTCCTAATTATTTAAAACTAAATTCTAAAACTGGTTTAAAATTAAAAATCTTTCTATACACACACAATAAACCTATACCCATTCTTTTGATATAGTTTACCATGTAAATGTTATAAGTTTGAATTATAATTTCATAGCTATTAAGAAGTGTAGTTAATGCAAAAACAATAGCAAGTCTTATCTAGATGGTCTGCCATAGCAAGTCTTATCTAGATGGTCTGCCATAGCAAGTCTTATCTAGATGGTCTGCCATAGCAAGTCTTATCTAGATGGTCTGCCATAGCAAGTCTTATCTAGATGGTCTGCCATAGCAAGTCTTATCTAGATGGTCTGCAATAGCAAGTCTTATCTAGATGGTCTGCCATAGCAAGTCTTATCTAGATGGTCTGCAATAGCAAGTCTTATCTAGATGGTCTGCCATAGCAAGTCTTATCTAGATGGTCTGCCATAGCAAGTCTTATCTAGATGGTCTGCCATAGCAAGTCTTATCTAGATGGTCTGCCATAGCAAGTCTTATCCCAAGATGGTCTGCCATAGCAAGTCTTATCTAGATGAAGCCTGGCATCCACTCACCTTCCTGTTCAATATAAGCTAGACTTGACGTTTGACAACTAGAGACACTGCCATGCTGTCATACAACTAGAGACACTGCCATGCTGTCATACAACTATAGACACTGCCATGCTGTCATACAACTAGAGACACTGCCATGCTGTCATACAACTATAGACACTGCCATGCTGTCATACAACTAGAGATACTGACATGCTGTCATACAACTAGAGACACTGCCATGCTGTCATACAACTAGAGACACTGCCATGCTGTCATACAACTAGAGACACTGCCATGCTGTCATACAAGAGACACTGCCATGCTGTCATACAACTAGAGACACTGACATGCTGTCATACAAGAGACACTGCCATGCTGTCATACAACTAGAGACACTGCCATGCTGTCATACAAGAGACACTGCCATGCTGTCATACAACTAGAGACACTGACATGCTGTCATACAACTAGAGACACTGCCATGCTGTCATACAACTAGAGACACTGCCATGCTGTCATACAACTATAGACACTGCCATGCTGTCATACAAGAGACACTGCCATGCTGTCATACAAGAGACACTGCCATGCTGTCATACAACTATAGACACTGCCATGCTGTCATACAACTAGAGACACTGCCATGCTGTCATACAACTAGAGACACTGCCATGCTGTCATACAACTTGAGACACTGACATGCTGTCATACAACTTGAGACACTGACATGCTGTCATACAACTTGAGACACTGACATGCTGTCATACAACAAGAGACACTGACATGCTGTCATACAACAAGAGACACTGTCCTACAAGATATGAGTTATGTAATGGTACACAAAGAGCTGGTTGGCTGTGCTGGGGCCATCTTGTGTTGTGAAGAATTATTGGAGTCAGTCAGCTGGGCCTTGACCACCCTCTGGTACTGCTCCACCTCTGGCTTGCTCAGCTTGACCTGAAGGATGTCCGCTGCCACTTTCTGAAAGCAGAGATCTACCTGTGGGGGGGGGGGGGGGGGGTCAAGTCTTAGGGCTGGTCGATGGCACATATGACAAGCATGTGATATGACAATGTCCTACAGAGGCATACAGTGTCCTATAGACTAGCAGATGGGACAATGTCTTGTAGATGAGTACATAGGGCAATGTCCTACAGAGGCGTAGCGAAGGGGGGGCAGGGGGGTACATATGTCCCCCGGGCGCCGACCTTAGGGGGCGCCAAATTGGGTTTGAAAAAAAAAAATTAAAATATTATTTTAGCTGCATTTTTGCTTTATATGAGGGGTTGGGGGGGGGGGGTGTGTTTGCAAATTGAAAGTTTGAGCAGGGGGGGGGGGGGTGCAAATGAAAATTGAAAGTTTGTCCCCGGGCGCCAGGAAGAGTCGCTACACCTCTGATGTCCTATAGACTAGCAGATGGGACAATGTCCTATAGACTAGCAGATGGGACAATGTCCTATAGACTAGCAGATGGGACAATGTCCTATAGACTAGCAGATGGGACAATGTCCTATAGACTAGCAGATGGGACAATGTCCTATAGACTAGCAGATGGGACAATGTCCTATAGACTAGCAGATGGGACAATGTCCTGTGAAGGTACTCACAGATTCTCCAGTCCTAGCAGACACCAGGTAGCTTGAAGCAGCGTGGTCCTGAGCAAACTTCAGGTGCTTGTCTTGTTTCACACTGCGCATATGCTCCAGGTCACCTGCTCAATGGGACAGGAAAAACATCACACACCTAGCCCCACACACCTAGTCCCACACACATCTAGTCCCACACACATCTAGTCCCACACACCTAGTCCCACACACCTAGTCCCACACACCTAGTCCCACACACCTAGTCCCACACACATCTAGTCCCACACACATCTAGTCCCACACACCTAGTCCCACACACCTAGTCCCACACACCTAGTCCCACACACCTAGTCCCACACACCTAGTCCCACACACCTAGTCCCACACACCTAGTCCCACACACACCTAGTCCCACACACCTAGTCCCACACACATCTAGTCCCACACACACCTAGTCCCACACACCTAGCCCCACACACCTAGTCCCACACACAGCTAGCCCCACACAGCTAGTCCCACACACCTAGCCCCACTCACCTAGCCCCACACACTTAACCCCACACACCTAGTCCCACACATCTAACCTCACAGAGACACTAAAACAACTTACTTTTGTTCCCTACTAATGCAATGTGAGGTAGAGGTCCTGAGTGACAAACTTTTTTCACAGCACTATACCAGTCTTCAAGGTTCTCAAAACTGGAGTAATTTGTAATGTCATACACTAAAACAACACCCTTAAAAATAGATAGAATATATATATATATGAAAGTATGTTTGTTTGTCCTTTATGCAGTACTACACCTTTCATATAAACGTAATGAAACTTTCAGAAGTTGTTAAGAATACACCTAGGGAAGTTTCTGCAAAAATTAATTTTTTAATTGGGCTGTGTGCCTATGTTCACTATAAAGAGTGTAATCACTTTGGAAATGATTAGCTACTATAACCACTCACTAAATCAAATCAGGTGCACAATCTAGCATGCAGGGCTCCCCCATAAGCACTAAGGTGCCTACATTAGGAAAATGGGTGGTTGCTGTAGTGTTTTCTAACTCATTATTTTGGAGAGTTATTACACTCAAGGCTTTCACACAGCCGTCCTTAGGCGTCTGGGCAGTGGTGGGAAAAACCTGGCGCCCCAACAACTATGATCCAAAAATAGAAACCCTGCTTTATTTAGATTAAACTGTTTCAGAAAACAAGCATTTAAAAATACATAATTGGTAATAAATGCATTGATGAAATCCTCCTAAAACATTGTGTCAGTTTTCTTCTAAAAACTAATAAGTATGATAATTCTAGGTTTACACAACAGTGGATATTGCACTGTCAACACACACGCGAAAAGCATAAAGGGACATAAGCGGGAGTCTTGACGATAAAAGTGAAACCCGGAAACTCAGATCTTGCAAATACGGAAAGGGAAAAAAAATAAGATTCTCAAATCCAGAAATCCTGTATATCTCGGAAAAAGGCACCCCTGTAGTAGATATTAGATGAAAAGTGGCACCACTGCAGTAGATATTAGATGAAAAGTGACACCCCTGTAGTAGATATTAGATGAAAAGTGACACCCCTGTAGTAGATATTAGATGAAAAGTGACACCCCTGTAGTAGATATTAGATGAAAAGTGGCACCACTGTAGAAATATTAGATGAAAAGTGGCACCACTGTAGTAGATATTAGATGAAAAGTGGCACCACTGTAGTAGATATTAGATGAAAAGTGACACCCCTGTAGTAGATATTAGATGAAAAGTGACACCCCTGTAGTAGATATTAGATGAAAAGTGGCACCACTGCAGTAGATATTAGATGAAAAGTGGCACCACTGTAGTAGATATTAGATGAAAAGTGGCACCACTGTAGTAGATATTAGATGAAAAGTGACACCCCTGTAGTAGATATTAGATGAAAAGTGACACCCCTGTAGTAGATATTAGATGAAAAGTGACACCCCTGTAGTAGATATTAGATGAAAAGTGGCACCACTGCAGTAGATATTAGATGAAAAGTGGCACCACTGTAGTAGATATTAGATGAAAAGTGGCACCACTGTAGTAGATATTAGATGAAAAGTGACACCCCTGTAGTAGATATTAGATGAAAAGTGACACCCCTGTAGTAGATATTAGATGAAAAGTGACACCCCTGTAGTAGATATTAGATGAAAAGTGGCACCACTGCAGTAGATATTAGATGAAAAGTGACACCCCTGTAGTAGATATTAGATGAAAAGTGGCACCCCTGTAGTAGATATTAGATGAAAAGTGGCACCACTGCAGTAGATATTAGATGAAAAGTGGCACCCCTGTAGTAGATATTAGATGAAAAGTGGCACCCCTGTAGTAGATATTAGATGAAAAGTGGCACCCCTGTAGTAGATATTAGATGAAAAGTGGCACCCCTGTAGTAGATATTAGATGAAAAGTGGCACCACTGCAGTAGATATTAGATGAAAAGTGGCACCCCTGTAGTAGATATTAGATGAAACCTAGGAGTTCTGTGACACATTCTCATATGATTTGTGGAAGTCAATACACTGTACACAGATTCTCATATGATTTGTGGAAGTCAATAAGCAAAACTAAGAGATTATTTCCTTAAGCTGCATGGAGATGGAGATTACAGAAACAAAGCGCTCAACAAATTCAAAATGAAGCTGCACATTTCTAAACTGATGTCTGAAAGGCAGCAGCAGAAGTCACACTGGTTTGCAGTCAATTTTCCTGACTCTTTTGTTTTTGTATGAAAAACATTTTCCTGACTCTTTTGTTTTTGTATGAAAAACATTTTCCTTACTCTTTTGTTTTTGTATGAAAAACATTTTAATGTTTTTTCCTCTTTGAACACATACATAATGTTGAAGCACGGTTTATTAAGTGCACCAGTAAAATTTGCTTTTATGTTTTCAATTTGAAATAAAAATCACATTTTTTTTTTCCTATTAAGATGGGTTTTGGTGAATGTACAAGCTGGGACAGTCCAGTACCTCCTAAAGATTAAGAACCACTGTTACAGATGTATAAACAGACAATGAGACATACATATGAAGCTGAGGGGGGGGGGGGGGGGGGGCAGTACCTCCTAAAGATTAAGAACCACTGTTACAGATGTATAAACAGACAATGAGACATACATATGAAGCTGAGGGGGGGGGGGGGGGCAGTACCTCCTAAAGATTAAGAACCACTGTTACAGATGTATAAACAGACAATGAGACATACATATGAAGCTGAGGGGGGGGGGGGGGGCAGTACCTCCTAAAGATTAAGAACCACTGTTACAGATGTATAAACAGACAATGAGACATACATATGAAGCTGAGGGGGGGGGGGGGGGGGCAGTACCTCCTAAAGATTAAGAACCACTGTTACAGATGTATAAACAGACAATGAGACATACATATGAAGCTGAGGGGGGGGGGGGGGGGCAGTACCTCCTAAAGATTAAGAACCACTGTTACAGATGTATAAACAGACAATGAGACATACATATGAAGCTGAGGGGGATGCAGTACGTCCAAAAAGGTTAGGAACCACTGTTACAGATGTATAAACAGACAATGAGACATACATATGAAGCTGAGGGGGATGCAGTACGTCCAAAAAGGTTAGGAACCACTGTTACAGATGTATAAACAGACAATGAGACATACATATGAAGCTGAGGGGGATGCAGTACGTCCAAAAAGGTCAGGAACCACTGTTACAGACTTACAGATGCATTAGGTACCTACATGAGCACCAAAGATGTAGTTGTCCAACATGGTACCACCAAGTGTTTGACCCCCAATGTCCCAAACTTGCAGCGCAACATTGACATTTCCTGCAGAGGATCAAAATATATCTTCAGCACATTTTTTTAAAACAAAATGTATCTTCAGCACATTTTTTAAAATCAAAATGTATTTTTATCAAATTTCTTTTCTACTACCATTTAAATATATCTACATCTTATTTTTTCTACTACAATCAAAATATATCTACATCTTATTTTTTTCTACAACAATTAAAATATATCTACATCTTATTTTTTCTACTACAATCAAAATATATCTACATCTTATTTTTTCAACTACAATTAAAATATATCTACATCTTATTTTTTCTACTACCATTTAAATATATCTACATCTTATTTTTTCTACTACCAGTTAAATATATCTACATCTTATTTTTTCTACTACCAGTTAAATATATCTACATCTTATTTTTTCTACTACAATCAAAATATATCTACATCTTATTTTTTCTACTACAATTAAAATATATATACATCTTATTTTTTCAACTACCATTTAAATATATCTACATCTTATTTTTTCTACTACCAGTTAAATATATCTACATCTTATTTTTTGTACTACCAGTTAAATATATCTACATCTTATTTTTTCTACTACCAGTTAAATATATCTACATCTTATTTTTTCTACTACAATTAAAATATATCTACATCTTATTTTTTCAACTACCATTTAAATATATCTACATCTTATTTTTTCTACTACCAGTTAAATATATCTACATCTTATTTTTTCTACTACCAGTTAAATATATCTACATCTTATTTTTTCTACTACCATTTATATATATCTTCAGCAAATTTCTTTTCTAATAGTACTAACTCAAACAAAGTAAATCTTCCATTAAATCTCTTTCTTATATCATGTGCAAGTAGGGGGGTGGGTCATGGTGTTATATCATGTGCTAGTAGGGGGGTGGGTCGTGGTGTTATATCATGTGCTAGTAGGGGGGTGGGTCGTGGTGTTATATCATGTGCTAGTAGGGGGGTGGGTCGTGGTGTTATATCATGTGCTAGTAGGGGGGTGGGTCATGGTGTTATATCATGTGCTAGTAGGGGGGTGGGTCGTGGTGTTATATCATGTGCTAGTAGGGGGGTGGGTCGTGGTGTTATATCATGTGCTAGTAGGGGGGTGGTTGTTAGCCATGGTGTTATATCATGTGCTAGTAGGGGGGTGGGTCATGGTGTTATATCATGTGCTAGTAGGGGGGTGGGTCATGGTGTTATATCATGTGCTAGTAGGGGGGTGGGTCATGGTGTTATATCATGTGCTAGTAGGGGGGTGGGTCGTGGTGTTATATCATGTGCTAGTAGGGGGGTGGTTGTTAGCCATGGTGTTATATCATGTGCTAGTAGGGGGGTGGGTCATGGTGTTATATCATATGCTAGTAGGGGGGTGGTTGTTAGCCATGGTGTTATATCATGTGCTAGTAGGGGGGTGGGTCATAGTGTTATATCATGTGCTAGTAGGGGGGTGGGTCATGGTGTTATATCATGTGCTAGTAGGGGGGTGGTTGTTAGCCATGGTATTATATCATGTGCTAGTAGGGGGGTGGGTCATGGTGTTATATCATGTGCTAGTAGGGGGGTGGGTCGTGGTGTTATATCATGTGCTAGTAGGGGGTGGGTCATGGTGTTACATCATGTGCTAGTAGGGGGTGGGTCATGGTGTTATATCATGTGCTAGTAGGGGGGTGGGTCATGGTGTTATATCATGTGCTAGTAGGGGGGTGGGTCATGGTGTTATATCATGTGCTAGTAGGGGGGTGGGTCATGGTGTTATATAATGTGCTAGTAGGGGGGTGGGTCATGGTGTTATATCATGTGCTAGTAGGGGGGTGGGTCATGGTGTTATATCATGTGCTAGTAGGGGGGTGGGTCATGGTGTTATATCATGTGCTAGTAGGGGGGTGGGTCATGGTGTTATATCATGTGCTAGTAGGGGGGTGGGTCATGGTGTTATATCATGTGCTAGTAGGGGGTGGGTCATGGTGTTATATCATGTGCTAATAGGAGAGCCTGATGACAGGTTTATAAAACATGAGACAAATGGTTGCATGAATAAATGAACACTGCTGGTGACACAATGAACACTACTGGTGACACAATGAACACTAATGGTGACACAGTTTTCACTGTACAGAAGACAATGCTGTAGGACAGACAACAGATTGATGCAAATGTCATTTTACTATGTCATAGAAAAAATGGAGATACTGCCTACTGGTGTTTTAGTGAGTGGATGGACGGGAATTTAGAACATCAGGGACAGCTTTAAGTAGGGGAGGGAAGTCAGTTCAAATGTAAGTCTCCTTAAGTAGGGGAGGGAAGTCAGTTCAAATGTAAGTCTACTTAAGTAGGGGAGGGAAGTCAGTTCAAATGTAAGTCTACTTAAGTAGGGGAGGGAAGTCAGTTCAAATGTAAGTCTACTTAAGTAGGGGAGGGAAGTCAGTTCAAATGTAAGTCTACTTAAGTAGGGGAGGGAAGTCATTTCAAATTTAAGTCTCCTTAAGTAGGGGAGGGAAGTCAGTTCAAATGTAAGTCTACTTAAGTAGGGGAGGGAAGTCAGTTCAAATGTAAGTCTACTTAAGTAGGGGAGGGAAGTCAGTTCAAATTTATTTTTTGTGATTGTTGTACATACACATTCCCTTCTTTTTTTTTAAGGAACAAAATTAACTCAAATATTATTTATTTTAAATGCCTACATATAATACTTATATTTTAATTTAAGAGGAAGTCACATGACCTTACAATAACTTTTAAACTGCTACAAACTGTACACCAGCAACTTTTAAACTGCTACAAACTGTACACCAGCAACTTTTAAACTGCTACAAACACCAGCAACTTTTAAACTGCTACAAACTGTACACCAGCAACTTTTAAACTGCTACAAACTGTACACCAGCAACTTTTAAACTGCTACAAACACCAGCAACTTTTAAACTGCTACAAACTGTACACCAGCAACTTTTAAACTGCTACAAACTGTACACCAGCAACTTTTAAACTGCTACAAACTGTACACCAGCAACTTTTAAACTGCAACAAACTGTACACCAGCAACTTACCGGGGAGTTGTATTCTCTTCAAATAAAAATCTAGACCAACAGTCTGTCCATAATGTTTGGAGAAGTTTTCTTGTGAATATCTCATGCAGAGTGATGTCTGAAACACAAGTGATGTGTAGATCATGATGTGATGTGTAGATCATAAAGTGATGTGTAGATCATGATGTGATGTGTAGATCATAAAGTGATGTGTAGATCATAAAGTGATGTGTAGATCATAAAGTGATGTGTAGATCATGATGTGATGTGTAGATCATAAAGTGATGTGTAGATCATAAAGTGATGTGTAGATCATAAAGTGATGTGTAGATCATAAAGTGATGTGTAGATCATAAAGTGATGTGTAGATCATAAAGTGATGTGTAGATCATAAAGTGATGTGTAGATCATAAAGTGATGTGTAGATCATAAAGTAATGTGTAGATCATGATGTGATGTGTAGATCATAAAGTGATGTGTAGATCATAAAGTGATGTGTAGATCATAAAGTGATGTGTAGATCATAAAGTGATGTGTAGATCATAAAGTGATGTGTAGATCATGATGTGTAGATCATGATGTGATGTGTAGACAGGGGTATAGATTGGATGTTATGACAGTAGTAGTGACAGGATGTAATGATGTCCTTTTCTAGTTGAATCACCTTGCCTGATGCACCATCCCCTAGAACAACTAATTTCAGCTGTCTGTCCAAGGATTCATCTTCTGAGTCTGACATTTTCCTTCATTCATCACAAACTGATTAAAAAAAAAAATCTGACCTGTGATCACAAACTGTGGCAAATTAAAAAAAAACTGACATGTGCTTCCCATTTTAAAGTTTAAACCTACAGAGTGTTGTAAAATTTAAACCTACTGAATGTTGTAAAATTTAAACCTACAGAGTGTTGTAAAATTTAAACCTACTGAATGTTGTAAAATTTAAACCTACAGAATGTTGTAAAATTTAAACCTACAGAGTGTTGTAAAATTTAAACCTACTGAATGTTGTAAAATTTAAACCTACTGAATGTTGTAAAATTTAAACCTACTGAATGTTGTAAAATTTAAACCTACTGAATGTTGTAAAATTTAAACCTACTGAATGTTGTAAAATTTAAACCTACTGAATGTTGTAAAATTTAAACCTACTGAATGTTGTAAAATTTAAACCTACAGAGTGTTGTCAAATTTAAACCTACTGAATGTTGTAAAATTTAAACCTACAGAATGTTGTAAAATTTAAACCTACTGAATGTTGTAAAATTTAAACCTACAGAATGTTGTAAAATTTAAACCTACTGAATGTTGTAAAATTTAAACCTACTGAATGTTGTAAAATTTAAACCTACTGAATGTTGTAAAATTTAAACCTACTGAATGTTGTAAAATTTAAACCTACTGAATGTTGTAAAATTTAAACTACAGAATGTTGTAAAATTTAAACCTACTGAATGTTGTAAAATTTAAACCTACTGAATGTTGTAAAATTTAAACCTACTGAATGTTGTAAAATTTAAACCTACTGAATGTTGTAAAATTTAAACCTACTGAATGTTGTAAAATTTAAACCTACTGAATGTTGTAAAATTTAAACCTACTGAATGTTGTAAAATTTAAACCTACTGAATGTTGTAAAATTTAAACCTACTGAATGTTGTAAAATTTAAACCTACAGAATGTTGTAAAATTTAAACCTACTGAATGTTGTAAAATTTAAACCTACTGAATGTTGTAAAATTTAAACCTACTGAATGCTGTAAAATTTAAACCTACTGAATGTTGTAAAATTTAAACCTAGTGAATGTTGTAAAATTTAAACCTACAGAGTGTTGTAAAATTTAAACCTACTGAATGTTGTAAAATTTAAACCTACTGAATGTTGTAAAATTTAAACCTACTGAATGTTGTAAAATTTAAACCTACTGAATGTTGTAAAATTTAAACCTACTGAATGTTGTAAAATTTAAACCTACAGAATGTTGTAAAATTTAAACCTACTGAATGTTGTAAAATTTAAACCTACAGAATGTTGTAAAATTTAAACCTACTGAATGTAGTAAAATTTAAACCTACTGAATGTTGTAAAATTTAAACCTACTGAATGTTGTAAAATTTAAACCTACTGAATGTTGTAAAATTTAAACCTACTGAATGTTGTAAAATTTAAACCTACTGAATGTTGTAAAATTTAAACCTACTGAATGTTGTAAAATTTAAACCTACTGAATGTTGTAAAATTTAAACCTACTGAATGTTGTAAAATTTAAACCTACTGAATGTTGTAAAATTTAAACCTACAGAATGTTGTAAAATTTAAACCTACTGAATGTTGTAAAATTTAAACCTACTGAATGTTGTAAAATTTAAACCTACTGAATGTTGTAAAATTTAAACCTACTGAATGTTGTAAAATTTAAACCTACAGAATGTTGTAAAATTTAAACCTACTGAATGTTGTAAAATTTAAACCTACAGAATGTTGTAAAATTTAAACCTACTGAATGTTGTAAAATTTAAACCTACTGAATGTTGTAAAATTTAAACCTACTGAATGTTGTAAAATTTAAACCTACTGAATGTTGTAAAATTTAAACCTACTGAATGTTGTAAAATTTAAACCTACTGAATTTTGTAAAATTTAAACCTACTGAATGTTGTAAAATTTAAACCTACAGAATGTTGTAAAATTTAAACCTACTGAATGTTGTAAAATTTAAACCTACTGAATGTTGTAAAATTTAAACCTACTGAATGTTGTAAAATTTAAACCTACAGAATGTTGTAAAATTTAAACCTACTGAATGTTGTAAAATTTAAACCTACTGAATGTTGTAAAATTTAAACCTACAGAGTGTTGTAAAATTTAAACCTACTGAATGTTGTAAAATTTAAACCTACTGAATGTTGTAAAATTTAAACCTACTGAATATTGTAAAATTTAAACCTACTGAATGTTGTAAAATTTAAACCTACTGAATGTTGTAAAATTTAAACCTACTGAATGTTGTAAAATTTAAACCTACTGAATGTTGTAAAATTTAAACCTACTGAATGTTGTAAAATTTAAACCTACTGAATGTTGTAAAATTTAAACCTACTGAATGTTGTAAAATTTAAACCTACTGATGTTGTAAAATTTAAACCTACTGAATGTTGTAAAATTTAAACCTACTGAATATAAAACTCAGACCAAAAAGAAAATTGGCCATTCCAGAAATGTTTAGGCATTTATGGAATGCTCAAAATGGGTTTCAGATAAAGAAATAAATAGCTGACATACTTTGCATCTAAAGAATGATCATGAGGTAAAGATCATGAGGTAAAGATCATGAGGTAAAGATAATTAGGTAAAGATAATTAGGTAAAGATCATGAGGTATTGATCATGAGGAATTCCCTTGAGAAGATGTCACAATGACACCTATAGTGTTCTAACCATACTAAACAAAAGAGTGATGCATAACTCTGCATTCTAAAATAATAACAAGAATTTAGATAATAAATAAACTGGGAGTGATCTCCTCTAAACTTTCTTGAATATTCTTATATAACACTACGGGGGATGGCAACTCAGGATATAGTCAATATTTTAAACCACTTTTAATTACTTCAACTTTTTTAAATAGAATAGAATCTCGTGGAAAAAATAATTGCACACCAAGTGAACGCCTAACAAAATGTGCATAATAGGGCGGGATATTATTAGTACTTTATAAATTCACATGCGTTTTTAGATAAATCGGAAATAGCATAAATCACTACTTCCGGTCAACAGAAATTACTCAAAATTTGATAGAAGGCAGAGAACCATCTTTTACTTGTATGTGAAATTTCATTTATCTATCTGATATTATCGGATAAAGTAATCAAGTTATAGGCTTTTGAAAAATTGAAAGTAGAAAAAGTTCCACTTCCGGTTATCGGAAATCGCTGAAAAGTTGATACGGATCTAGAAGATCTAGAATTATGATAAGTAAAGAAGCTTGGTGATAAACTTATTTAATTATTTGTGATAATTATGCCTATGACATTAGTAAATAATAAACAAAAGGCTCAGCAATTGACATGGGGGGGGGGGGATTCTAATTAATAAGGCAGTGAATTTAGAATGACACGAAAAAGGCATGATAGTTATCATTCATAATGATTTAGGATACAATTTTTACATTTAATAATAAAAACTAACAAAAAACAAATAACAACAAACAATATGTATTTAAATCACAGCATATTGCCAATAAATTCATAGAAGCAAATAGACAGGGAAGCTGTAACTTCTGATGTGGTACAACTTACTTAACACTTAGCTTAATAAACTTTTACAAGAATTTAAGGTTTTTCTATTGATTAGTTGTACCAAAATATCAATAGGGCCTGATAAAGACCCTAGTATAATATTAGTTTCCCTTTTGGACCTGTCAATCCATCATCCATAGAGCAGCTGAAGTAGAGTTTGTCTGTTTCTTGACCACTGAACATGAAGTGATGGTGTGGTTAGCTCTCTGCCAAGCTATCTTTACTTTCCCTTGGGTCAGGTACTCAGCTTGGTGGATGCTGCACAGACAGACTAGTCTGAGATCTGAGCTTAAGACTTGCATGTTAGTAGTTGAGTGCTTTACCACACCATCCCTAGTTTTATTTTTCAGCATTCTTCTTATTACATGCTTCAGTATCAATCACCAAATGTATCCTATCTATTATAGTAACATTCTGGACATACGTCTGTTGCAGTCACTACAGTCACTATAATTACTATAAAAGGGTGCAACACCCTTTCATAGGACTTTTTAATTATATGCAGTCATACTTAATCTATTTTTTTTTTTATATTTCTATTGCCCCCACCCTCTAGCAAAGTTTCAATTTTAATATTAAAAAAACAACATAGACTTTCAGTCTGCATATTGACCTATATAGAACAGCACCCCTCACTTTAATTTGACTTGATTAGTTCTAATTATCCTTCATCAAATTTTGATTTTACTTTCATATTTCTATTGCCCACACTCTCTAGCACTAATGTGCAAAGTTTTATAATTATATCTCAAATAGCAGCAGTGGTATGCAAGCCTAAAGCCAATCACACAATTAAATCCGATGTTACAGTGATATATAACAAGTTTAATACATAAATTTAAAAATTCATATAAAATAAACTATTAGGCCTAGAATGATAAATTTGGTATTTTTATCAATGGGGTATATTATAGGATTGATCTGTGTACATTTTATCATTCTATGATAAGTAGGAAAAATATCCCATCATGCCTAATATATACTGTATATAATTATAAAATAAATTATATATTATATTATTAGGTAATCTATCGTTTTGGGTACGTAAAATTGCCCGCGGCTATTAATGTACGAAAACGTTACCTCATTGTCAAGGCTGTAATAGAAGTATATTGTGATATGTTTGTGTCAAATATTATAGATAAATGAATAATAAACCTAAATCAATGGCTAAATATATCAATATAGGCCAGAAATTAACTTTAAACAGCAGTGTCTGCAAGCAAGATTTGCTATATAAACAGCAGCCATTTGTAAAATAGAGTGGCTTCCCCCTGAATCTGGCGCTAAAAGCTTATAAAAATAAAACTTAAACAAGATGGCTGCTATAGTAAATGAGCATGGTTGCATCTGTTGGAAACATCGCTAGTCTTCATTTATTACTGAAAAGTTTTAATGCAATTGTTTAAAAACAGGTACATAAATGAAACAAGGAAACATTTTTGTATTTTTCAAAACATAAATCCTCCTCAAAATGTGAAATAATTATTAAAATGTAAGGAGTCACCTGCTTTTCACATTACTAGTCGGGGGTTGATTTTTACGAACCCAAAACGATAGATTACCTATTATTATACTTACTTATACTAGATCTGATCTAGGTAAAATCTTAGTTTAGGGTCGAAAATTCCAACGTAGCTAGTAATGTGCGATGAAGGTAACTAATGAATATTTCTTTCATTTGGCCATATTTATGTCATATTTTACATAATGTAACAGATAATTGAATAACAAATCACAATCCAAGACCAACCCAGTCATAAATATCCTGGAATAAACTTTAAACTACCCCGTTCGAGACAACAATGAGTAAATACAAGCAGCGGCCATGTTTTCAAAAACAATAATAGAGTAGTTTCCCTTGAAAAATTGTCTATTCGCATGTCTTTTGTGTTGATTTTGTGGTTTAATAGGATTGTTTTGTATTGATTTAATATATGCCTGCATAGTAATTATTCTTTTTTTTCAATATAGTTGACATGAATGACTAATAAAACTTTTCAGACTTAATAGTGTGCATCCAAGACCACAACAATTGTTGGGAGGTCGAACTTTTGAACACTTTATTTGCAGTAATCAAATCAATATTAGATCGCTCATAAATGACGTCGCTCTTAAGATAGTAATGACAGCGTGCATTATTACAGAACAAACATATAAACATATTGTTTCAGATAGAAATTGGTGAAAACAGGATGGCCGTCCGATTTTGAAGCTGCTCTGCGCTTTATAAAAAGCACAATAAACGATAAGATGACACTTATATTAAAGTAAATTATAGTTCTGAATCTTGATACATTAAAAGTGATATTCGGAAATTAAGAGCCAGACAGTCAACATGATATTTCAATTGAAGCCCAAGAAAATAAATTTCCTCAAACGATGGAACATTACTAAATTTTTGCGCAGTTTAGCGAAATTAAATTTAAGTATTTACATCATCTTACAAAGCGCGATAGCCTACTGGTGCTCTAATGCGGCCCATGCTAATGGCCGTATTCCTAACGCCCCGCATTAGAAGCTGCTTATTCGTCGGCAGGCATTTGGTGGCAAGCCTTTTCGACGGGGATAATGTGTTGAGGCCGTTTTGCCAAATGTCTTAAACTAGCAGGCTTGCAACATTTGTGATGATTTGTTTTAAGCAAGGTATACGTTTACTAATGCTTATTTATCGTTATTTTGATTGAACATAGCATTATAGAGGTTCTCCATCAACCACCTAGGTATTTTTCCCCGTTCACCTCCTTTCATGAGACCGTCACGTCATAAATTGCGGAGACGCCTGAGTTGACGTCACAAATCTTCACTCTTTCCCGTAGCAAATCATATGTGACATCATTTATGGACAACCCCATATCACTCACTTGGGTACTTGATATTGACAATTTGACAACAAAGGATAACCAAAATGTGTCTGACAGGTGGAGACTTGCGATGGACCATTATGACAACACGCACTTAAGGGGTGGACTGGCTCATTGTTTTAGATGTTTTACGAGGGAAGCTGGTGGATAATACATTTTGTCTCTCTGTTCTGTATATATAAATGATGACAAACATTTAATGTTGTAAAAATATGGTTAGAGATCTTAGATAAGGCAGAGTGAAGCGTAATTTTTTACATTATGACTTGTTGTGACATTGACAACAAAAATATGATGGAGGTTGGGGTTTAATTAAGGTAAAGAGAAGTAAAAAAATGTCATAAGTTACAATAGAATTACTAATTGATGAAAAGAAAAACCTGAAATGAAAATAGTGAACATTCAAACAATAAGAAAAAACTCAAACTATATAGACTTTCTAGTATTAGTAAGATCAAATAAACATTAGTAAAAAAACGTGATTTAATACATGGATACAAGTTGCATCTCAAAATGCTTCTAGAATTAATAAAGTTGTTTGTTAGGAAATTCAGTTTTTAAAGGGCAGAATTTTAAAAAAATGCTTTGTAATACGGACTATACAACAAGACAATCATAATTTAAATACATTTTCATACGAATAGAAATGAAAGGGAAGCTACTCTCAATAACATTTTCTTAAGATGGCAGCTGTTTTTAATAGCAAATTTACTATCTCGAACAGTGGCGAACAGGGTTGATAAAAATTAATTTCAGGATATTTAAATTGATTTAACCATAAATGGTGATCTATTATTCAATTATCTATAATATTTTACCAAAATATACTCATATTTAATGACATATTCATTAATTCACTCTCTCCCACATTAGTTTTGGCCGAATTTACGACGCTAAACTAAGATTTTACCCTGATCTATGCTACTACTAGAGTCTAGATTGTACTAGTAACGTAACTATTTACTAGATCTTTCTATATCTAGAATGATGGGCTTCTAATTGATGGGTTATTCTATGAGTCTATGACAAACATGGATTTGGATCTCCGGATCAGATCTAGATTCTAGATCTAGAGTCTAGAGTCTACTTTTTTCCTTACCTGGCCTGATGAAGTTTACAATTTTCAACGCGTCGTATCCAGACAACCATTTTTATTTGTACTATTTAACCAATGTACCAGGTTTCTCAAACAGGTAGATTTTAAAAAATTATTATATGGCATGTTGATATTGACACGTTTACCAGAATCATCAGAGTTAATAACTTAGAATAAGATGGATAGATCTATCTTCTATATACCAGAGGCGTAGCTAGGGGAGGGCGGCCGCCCCGGGCGCCGACCCTAGGGGGCGCCAAAAGGGGTAGAAACTTTTTTAACAAAGTTCATTTTAAGCTGCAGTTTTGAATTATAAACAGTCAAAGTAAAGAAATAATTTAACGGCTGAGAGCACTTGCATACTGATTTAACTGTTTTCTACCTTGATTGTGTAACTGTAAAACGTATATCCTTAAGAAATAGTGACCGGAAAAACCGCTATCCAGCTTTCCTAGAGGGGGGGGGGGGCGCTTTTTCGAAGACTAAAATCGGAAAAATTCACACCGGATTAAGGAATAAATAACCGATATCACTCAGAAAAGAAAAACACATTGAACTAAAGCGTATTTTACGATTGTGTAACATAAAAAAAAGAGTTAGTGACGTTTAAAATCCACTCTACAATTTTTGTGCAAGATGGTGGGGCACTTATCACCAAACAAAATCGCAAGGATTTGTAATGGATCGCTTACTATATAAATATTTTAACACTTAGAAAAGAAATCAATTGTATTAACACTTAATGTACGATTTCACTCCCCAGTTTTGATAAGTAATAACGCGACTAGTTCTTTGTACGATTCTTACGATTCTCTCAACTTCATCGTGAGAGATCAGATACTTTTACTTGATTGCGTTACATCTTGTCTGGATCACTGCATAAAAGAGAAATAAATATCACGGATTCTTGTATCGCTATCCTATCAGTAAAATAGCAGACTGTCGGAGCGAGTGGGTGGGAAGCGACACTCTTTGCCAATATTTTAAGAGAGAAGAAAATTAGTATATTGTACTAATTATTACTTTGTTCAACTGATAATTCAAAATTGTGATATAGGCCTACAATTATCGAAATTATTCTAAAGACGAGAAAAATGGCCCGTTGAGGAAGGATACAACAGGCGCTAGGCTGATAGTGCTGTCTCTTTTCTCTAAACTAAAACCACCCACCCCCCCCCCCCCCCCCCACACACACACACACCACCCCCCACCCCCACCCCCCCCTCCCCCCAAAAAAACATGTCTACCGTCCCATTCAACGAAATATAATTATATACTTTTTCCAGTGTCCGCCCCCTCCCCGAAAATTCTACCCCCGCCCCCGAAAATTTCAAGTATCCCCACCCCTCTCCGGGGAGGAAAAAGTCTGAAAGAAACACTGGTGTCGCGCTTAGCCACTACGCGAAGAATTGCATTAAAGAAATTGCAAGAAAACCACTTTTTAGATTAGACACATTAATTAGGCGGTAATTTTATTATAGAGTATCGATGAAGAAATTTCTTTTGAGTTGGGGGGGGGGGGGGGGCGGGGGGGGCTTAGACGTTCTTACGTGGGGGTGGGGCTTCGCCCCTACCCGAAGAACTGTATGAAAGAAACTCTTCACGCAAACCACTTAGATTAGACAAAATTGCCGTTTTATTCAATGTTTACTCGAGAATCAATGACGTCATATTACTGTGTGCACTCTCCGGCTTGATATTATTTTCTACTATATGACGTCATACTTCGATTTCGTTTAACTATGCATGTTTTTAATTTGCTTATGTTTTCTCTAGAGCGTTCTTGTCAGACAGATAGATACATAGATAGATAGATAGATACATAGACAGACAGCGAAACTATTAGTATTAATACGACCAAAAGTAGAACAAATAAGGCTTGCACATTCTACACCTTAAGCAATGGTTCTTAACTTTTTGGAATCACCGAACCCTTCTTAATAGTCGTATCATCCACACAGACCAAATCCGAACGTGAATCATAAAAAGACTGCTAAACGAATTAGCACCGCTACAATTTTAATTTTTTTCTGACATTACTTATCATCATTTTTGAAGGATCTTAACGGGAATTTAATTGGCGTCCAGTGAAGTTTTAGGGAACGACAATCAGCGTAATTGTTAATTTTTTTCCAGACTGTCGCACACACATACACACACGTATATATATATATATATATATATATATATATATATATATATATATATATATATATATATATATATATATATATATATATATATATATATATATATATATATATATATATATATATGGGGGCGCCAAACTGAAAGTTCGCCCCAGGCGCCGGGAGGGGTCGCTACGCCTCTGCTATATACTACTAGATCTAAAACTAAAGTTTGTATATTTTTTTGTTTGTTTTTTGTTGATTTTTTGTTTGTTTGTCTGGTTAAAGTAAAGGAGAGAATCTGCACTATGTTTAGAGCTGTAAAATACGTATTTTTGCCTTGGTGTCACAGCCAGAGGCGTATCCAGGTTTTCGTTGTAGGGGGAGCGAAATGAGCAAAAAAAGGCGCCGAATTTTTAGCACGTTCTATATACATGTATTATATATATATATATATATATATATATATATATATATATATATATATATATATATATATATATATATATATATATATATATATATATATATATATATATATATATATATATATATATATATATATATATATATAAGTTTCCAAAAAGGCGCCACTTGGCTGAAAATGGCCAGAGGGGGCTCCCCCCTGCGTACGCTATTGGTCACACCCCTAAATGGTGTCACCCGGTGCGGTCCGCACCCCCCCCCCCTCTCGCTACGCCTCTGCGTTTGAAACACATGTTTGATCAGAAGAGTGCAGGGGATCACAAAATGCTTCTTTAAAAAAAAAATTACAAAAAATAAATTATGACACCTACAGTAAAACTGAGTACATAGAAATAAAGAATAACCATAGCTCTTAACAGGTAAACAGTCTTTGTGTCTGTAACTAATTTATATGCGATTCAATGGTGGCTGGAACATTTAGGCTAGGGTCACATTAAGAAAATATTTTTGTTGAAATAATTATTAGTCTCTAGAACCAAGTAGTACATTCAAAAGTAAGAACATTTATTTAGAATGCCTCAGCCGGTGTATCTTTATGTTATAAATATGTATTTATACATAGATCTAGCTGGTTCAACAATTATTGCGATATGGTAGTGGTAGGGCTACACAAAAATACACTCGCTTATTAAATACAACTACGTAGGCTAAATAGGTGGTGAACGGAAAAAAAGTCACAGGAAAAAAACACAGAAAACAAGTTAATAAAAAGTCTAGTGACAATTTAAGCGCAATTTCCTTAATTAATAGAGTCCTTGCAAACACGTGACCTAAATCACGTGATACCTACGCCCGCCGCCACAGTGGTGTACATCAGACGTAAACACAATCAGCTGTTCGCCAGCGCTGGACGTTTTCACCAGCGCTGGACGTGTTCACTGTATGTAAAGAACCGCACCCGCGGAAAAGGAAAAATATGTTTAAAAAACTTGAACTCTTAGGAATTGAAGATCCTTATACTGTTATTGACAGTTTCGTGGATAACATAAATATGTGGACAAAATTTCTAAATAAAAATACTGTTAGTAATACCGTTTACGTTTAGAGTTTAAGCAGACGAAGCTGATCAAATGCAGTAATATATTATAGGTTTTCTACTGTAGCAAACGTGAGACCACTTAACTCCTACAAAACCCACACTACAACGGCTAATATAATCCATGGGTAATAACCAATCTGGGTAGCATACTAGCATGTTATACAATTTAGGACCCTTATAATCCAGCAGGAAAGTAATCAGACACATTAATACTGACGTTCAACCCTCATGATGGCTGCCCCCACCTGTATCTAGCCCACAATAAAACCAAAGAGGAGTCTGCCCTGCCCTCCCCTGAAAATGTCTCACCTCCGTGATACCCAGCCCCACAGAGATAGTATTTCTTATATAATTTTGACCCTCAGGGCCCAGCAGGGAGAACAAAGGGGAAAGTCCCACTGCTCTCCCCTCAACACTTCTCACCTCGGTGTCATGTTATGTCATTTATAGCACACATGGCTTATCAGGGGAAAGCATTAAGGCATTAAGAATCTTAACTCTGGACAGCTACACACTAGTATACTAGCTACACACTAGGTGCCTACTGTAAACTACTAGACTGTAGGCCCTATGTAGACCTGCAATTGTATCAATTGTAGACTGGGTCCATTGTTATTATTCTAAACCATCTCACTTATAATGTTTCTAGCTTGATTTGTTTCTTTTATAAACAGTGGATTTAAAAAAAAAATTAGCCTAATCATTAACCAAATAATAATAATGTGGTTATTTGTTGTTGGCTGGTATGATCTAGATTGTACTACTAGGCTACAAAAACTTAGTAGACCAATTACTAGATATGAATTTGAATTAATTAAACAACAAAGTAGGTAGGCCTTAGTAATTTATTAAAGCCTTCTACTACAATAATATCAACTACATGCTTGTATAAAGTTTTTACAATTTAATTTAAGTAGCAGATTCTAGATCTAAGTCTAGTCATACAATCTATTTCAATTTCAGAAAATTTCGTTTGCTAAAAAAATGATTAGATAATAGAGCGAGATTTTAGATCTTAGAGACAATTAAATGCTTTATTAGGCCTATTATGACTACTTTTGATTTATTATGGGTGTATTTTGAATCGAATGTAGATCTAAAGTAATTAAATTTAAGTAAAGAAGTAGATTCTAGATTCTATGTCTACCCAGCGGAGCCAGGTATTAGGCCTACTATTAGATCTTATTATTCTTATTATTACTTTTGACTTTGTCTTTTACTATTAGTATTTGTGAAGGTCGAGCATATTTGTTTTATTAATAGTTATCTTTTATAATTAAAATGAAGTTTATTATTTTACTGTCCTTACCTGAAACAAAGTATCGAGAACTGCATTTGATCAGATTCGTCTACTTTAACTCTAAACGCAAACAGTATTACTAACAGTATTTTTATTTAGAAAATTTGTCCACATATTTATATTATCTACGAAACTGTCAATAACAGTATAAGGATCTTCAATTCCTAAGAGTTCAAGTTTTTTAACATATTTTTCCTTTTCCGCGGGTGCGGTTCTTTACATATAGTGAACGCGTCCAGCGCTGGTGAACACGTCCAGCGCTGGCGAACAGCTGATTGTGTTTACGTCTGATGTACACC